GATGTCCTCCAGAGCCTCATGAGCTCATAGGTGGGGGGTTGGCATAGGTGACTGGAGTACAGCTTATAGATGATTCACGTTAGGTGAGGAAAAGGCAGGTCACTGGGGATGTGACCTGAAAGTGTTTATTTTCCCTCCCAGCTCTCATTTGGAGCTGCTGCTTTTTTGTATGTCATGGCATGAGCAGTCCTTCTCTGTCAGATCCTTCTACCATGCTGCTTCTGCATGTAGCTGACTGACTATGCAAGGACTGAAACTTCTAAAATGTTAGCCAAACCCCGGCATGGTGGTGCATGCCTATAATCCCTGCATTTGGCAGGTGGAAGACTGCCATGAGTTCAAGGCCAGCATGGACTATATAGTGAACTCAAGCAGCCTGAACTACGTAGTAAGACACTGTGTCAAAAAACAAAATGTGAGCCAAAATAAACCTCTCTCTTTTAAATTGTGGGTGTTGGGTATTATATCTGAGCAATGAAAAAAGTGACTACGGCAGTACTAATACCATTTTAGTATTCTGCAGGGACTTATATGTTTCAAAGCCTTAGAACTTTGGTCCCAGAGCTCATTTAATTAAACCTGTCCAGAGTATCTACTACTCTCTGACAAGGAATCCTGCTGGGTTTATTCAGCTTCCTTTTGAGAAGAGACTCCTACCACCTTGAGGCACATCTTTGGAATACCAGAAAGTTCTGACAAATCTTAAACTTTCACCTAGTAGTCATAGTTCTGTTCCTAGGATCTTCAAACCTGTTTGAAGACTGAAGCAAGCTCCTCAGAGTCCTTTCTTTTCCCAATGAAATCACCCTAGATTTTTATAATTGTTCCTCCAGGCTTAAGTTTCATATCCTCAATTTCTCTGGTTACTCTTCTCTTTCCAGAGCCTGGTTTTCTAGATGTCTTTTCAAGTATGCTATCCAGAAAAGCTACCTGGGCTCTCCTGGAAATCTGACCACTATGGTCAAGTCCATCATTCTCGACACTGCTCTTCTTGAAGTCTAAGCCTATATAAACCTTTTTGACAGCATCATGTTGTTTTTGTGACTGTTTTAGCACAGGCAGTGTTCTGCTACTCCACTAGATTGAAAGCTAAAGATGCAGTAGTCTGGCAGGGCCTGGGCATCTCTAAAGAAAATAGGCTGGAGACTGTAAAAGAAGAGAAGACAAAAACAGAGATGTGGAGCTCTACGGGCAGCTTTGCTAGAAGAGTAGTTGGGAAAGAAAGGTTTGGCATTGAAAGAATTTTTTTCTTTTTTCTTTTTTTTTTAAATGTATTTAGTACAGGGTCTACAGGGTCTCACTACACAGATTGCACTTGCAGTGATCCTCCTGTTTTCAGCCTCCAAAGCACTAGGGTTACAGTCATGTGCCACCATGCCCAGTGTCAGTCCCTGTCTCAGTGTGCCCCAGGGGTGGGGCTGGCATGGCACACCGGGGATTGAACCCCTGTCCCTGCATTTGCCTAAGCAGGTGCTTTAATCCACTGAGCTATCTGGCTGGCCCTTAGACAATATTTTTTTGAGACTGGATCTCTCATATCTCAATAAAAAGATGAGACATTTGGGCCTTTCTTTGTGACTCCTTTTAAGATACTCAAAGGAAAAATCAACTTGGAGCTGGAATGTAATATAACAGCTTTAACCACTAGTATCTTCTTGCAGAAGTAACTTATTCAAATATATATTATA